GTATTGAAGCATTTCCATGCTAAAGTCATGTGACATATTGCATTTTTTCTTATTAATAGGTCAACTCCATTAACATAGTGAACAAACAGTACGAATGCATGGAGTGCCGAAGGAGCTGCAGTGAGAATGAGAGGAACATCAACTAACCCACATGGAGGAGAAATCGAAAGGGATAGAAGGTGAGAAGATGTTCATTAATAGTGAAGGACCTGCTATACGTGAAAGAATACCCATCGTGGAGAAGCCATATCAATGCATGGAGTGCAGGAAGAGCTCCAGTGAGCATGGGGCATGTGAGGAACATCAACGAACCCACATGGAGGAGAAATGGAAAGAGATGGAAGGCGAGAAGATGTTCATTAATAGTGAAGGACCTGCTATACCCATTGCGGAGAAGCCATATCAATGCATGAATGAGCGTTGGGTGTGTGAGGAACATCAACAAACCCATTTGAAAGAAGAGGAGAAAGGTCAAGAGATGGAAAGAACATCCATCGTGGAGAAGCTATATCAATGCATGGAATGCAGGAAGAGCTTCAGTGAGCATGGGGCATGTGAGGAACATCAACGAACCCACATGGAGGAGAAATGGAAAGAGATGGAAGGCAAGAAGATGTTCATTAATAGTGAAGGACCTGCTATACGTGAAAGAATACCCATTGCGGAGAAGCCATATCAATGCATGGAATGCAGGAAGAGCTTCAGTGAGCATGGGGCATGTGAGGAACATCAACGAGCCCACATGGAGGAGAAATGGAAAGGGATGGAAGGTGAGAAGATGTTCATTAATAGTGAAGGACCTGCTATACGTGAAAGAATACCCACTGCGGAGAAGCCATATAAATGCATGGAATGCAGGAAGAGCATGAATGAGCGTTGGGTGTGTGAGGAACATCAACAAACCCATTTGAAAGAAGAGGAGAAAGGTCAAGAGATGGAAGCCAGGAGGACGTACGGTCATATGAGGCCACCCGCTGAACGTCAAAGAATGTCCGGAGTGGACAAGCCGTACAAATGCATGGAATGTGGGAAGAGCTTCATTAGCACCAATGCTCTCATATTGCACGAGAGAACCCACACCGGGGAGCGGCCTTACGAGTGCGCCGAGTGCGGGAAGGGCTTCACGATGAGCAGCGCCCTGACGTTGCACGAGAGGACCCACACGGGGGAAAAGCCGTACGAGTGCCTGGAGTGCGGGCGGTGCTTCAGCGAAGGTAGCAAACTGATCATCCACGGGCGGATCCACACCGGGGAGAAGCCCTACAAGTGCATGGAGTGTGGGAAGACCTTCTCGGTGAGGAGCGCCTTGGGTTTGCACCAAAGGACCCACACCGGGGAGAAGCCGTATCAATGTACAGAATGCGGGAAAAGGTTCCGCGTGAGCAGCCACCTCACCTCCCATCGGAGAACCCACACGGGCGAGAAGCCCTACAAGTGCGCCGTGTGTGGGAAGATGTTCAGCGACAGTGGAGCGTGCACTAAGCACCAGAGAATCCACACCGGGGAGAAGCCCTACAAGTGCATGGAGTGTGGGAAGACCTTCATTAGCAGCAATTCCCTTGCATTGCATGAAAGAATTCACACGGGAGAGAAGCCTTACAAGTGCACAGAGTGCGGGAAGAGCTTCAACCGGAGCGGGACACTCACGTCCCATCAGAGGAGGCACACGGGAGAGAAGCCCTACACCTGCGTGGAGTGCGGGAGGAGCTTCAGCGACAGCGGGACCTGGGTGAGGCATCAACGGACCCACACCGGGGAGAAACCCTACACCTGCACAGAGTGCGGGAAGGGATTCAGCCAGTACGGTGCATGCACCATCCACAAAAGGATCCACACGGGGGAGAAGCCGTATCAATGTGCAGAGTGCGGGAAGACCTTCAGCCGTCGGGGTGCATGCACTAAACATCAACGAACCCATGCGGGTTGCGGAGTGTTGGAAAAGCATCTCCCTTCTGCCCAAGAAGCCGTTTAGTGGAGAAATCACACTCCAACATATGGACGTTGGAAGCCACTTCACTGTTGACAGCTTTTAGATTGCACATTGAAGTATCTACACTGATGTTAATTGTGGGATGCTGGTACATGAAGTGATTTATAGTTTCCAAATCAAGACCTCTCTGAACCGTTGCAAGCTGGATAGCAAGCGAAACACAGCAGAGTCCTTTCACAGCAAAAACATGCTTCAACCCATCTATCGGCAAGAGTCCAACTGCCAGCATCTGACCTTATGTACACACTGTTTAGTAAACTCATGGATTCAGGTTTTAATCCAAAAGATGAGTCTACACTGCCATATAATCCAGTTCAAAGCAGATAATCTGGATTTTATATGGACCTAAAGGATTGAGCGGCGCTCCATGCAGTCATGCCAGTGGCCACATGACCTTGGGGGTGTCTACAGACAACGCTGGCTCTTCGGCTTAGAAATGGAGATGAGCACCACACCCCAGAGTCAGACATGGCTGGACTCAATGTCAGGGGACTACTTTTACCTTTACCTAAAGGATTGAGCCTAAGTCTCCCCAGAAGAGAGCTTGTTCTCCCAAGAAACCATTTGGAAGTGACTTTATATGGAAAGAGTTGCATTGTTTTAATCAATTTGTTCCAAATTCTTCTTAACGCTATCAGTTGTTTCATAGCCTCATGCCTGTTTTTAACTCTTATGTTTTAATCTGTACCAGTTTTTAAAAGTGGGTAAATTCAAAGACAGTGTGACGTAGTTGCTTTGAGTGTTGGACAACAACTTCGAATCTGGGTGACTTTGGTAAGCGTTGGGCTTCCTGTCGTACTAACTTACACTTTATTTCCGAAGGTCACTGTATTTCCGCAAAGCTTTGTGGCTAACACACGCAAGTGATGCTGTCACCATGTTTTTGTTTCCAAGAGAGGGAGGTTTCCTTATGGTTCTGTATATAAAGGCTGATACATCAGTTGTTCCCAGGATTATAAATTCAACGTTATTGCTGCCAAAGAGGAATCCCATCCCTTTTTTATGCAGAGATCCTTGGCTGCTTATGACAGGCAGGGGCGGCTGAACCATTAGGCAAATTACGCATTTGCGTAGAGCGCCGCATCCCCGGGGTGCACAGGAGGAACAGAAGCAACAGCCTCCAAAGGGACAGCGACAGGTAGGGGCTCGCAATACCCTGCGCAGCCTCGCCTCTGTCCCGGGATAAGCTGTCTCCTGTGACACCTTCAGGAGGAGGAGGTAGAGGACCTTCCTTCTCTTGCACCGCAGGGCTTGCTTTCTCTTTCTTCGTCCACGAAAGGCCTGAAAGCGAATCCCTGATCCCTCCCCCTCGCTTTCTCCCTCCCTCCTTTCCTTCAGTTCCTTCTCATCGCTCAAGTTTTACCTGCAGGCTGTTTTTGTTGGCCAGCCTACAAAGACTAGCCTTTGTATTTTGTCATCTGAATGCTGCCGAAAACATAAATCAGAAAAAGGGGTCGTGGGGGAGGCTGGATGGGCATCGGTCGGGGTGCTTTGAATGTGATTTTCCTGCTTCTTGGCAGGGAGTTGGATTGGATGGCCCTCAAGGTCTCTTCCAACTCTGTGATTTACTGGGCCCTTCCACATAGGGCCACTTCACCTAATAATAATAATAATAATAATAATAATAATAATAATCTTTATTTGCACCCCGCTGTCCGAACGGATCTCCCTCTATGCCCCAACTCGGAGTCTGAGATCCTCTGGGGAGGCCCTGCTCTCGACCCCGCCTCTATCACAGGTGAGATTGGCGGGGACATGGAGCAGGGCCTTCTCGGTGGTGGCCCCTCACCTATGGAATTCACTCCCCGGGGAAATTAGATCAGCGACATCCCTCCTTTCTTTTAAGAGAAAATTGAAAACATAGATTTGGGACCAGGCATTCGGACAATCTGGCAGATAAAGAAAGGACTTTGACAATTGACAAGAATGGACGAAGTGGAATTAAATTATGGAACTCTGAAGGATGAACGCTGAGCATGAGATTAGTTTTATTAATTGTCTTATATATTGATTGTTTTAATTGTTTTAATTGCTGTTTTATACGTATGTGTAGGCATCGAATTGTGCCTTTTGTAAGCCGCCCTGAGTCCCCCCTCGGGG